GTGGGGGAGGGAGGAGGGGGGGGAGAGAGAGAGAGAGAGAGAGAGAGTATGAAGCAACCTCCTTCCTCTCTAGATGTGTGGGGTCATCCTGGTCTCCACCCCTTCCAAAAGAAAGCACCACCCACTGCGTTGATGATCCCACAGTTCCCACTCGTATTTTACTGCCTCTGACGTCACTGTGGCGCAAGTGTTAACACGCATTCATCATCGCTTGCCTCCCATTACAACACTTGGTTTCACTCAACGATTGTGAAGCCCAGGAGTATGTCCATGCTGTCACTTGGTTGGAAGACTATAAAGTGAGCAGACATCGCCCTCTAGCGGTAGGAAAATGAATTAGGGGGCAAACAAATTGTGACAATGCAATCAAACACAGAGACTACATTGAAATATAAAAAGCACAGTGGAAATCCCCATTTGAGATGACTCACTGGAAGTCATAGTGAGTTCAAATATTATGAGCATCATTATTCATCATGTGGGGAGGCACGGTGTTTAACCGTGAAGAGGTTCAGGGTTCGATTCCGGCTGCGGCCTTCCTGTGTGGAGTTTGCATGTTCTCCCCGTGCCTGCGTGGGTTTTCTCCGGGTACTCCGGTTTCCTCCCACCTTCCACAAACATGCGTGGCTGGTCAATGGAACACTCTAAATTGTCCCTAGGTGTGAGTGTGAACACGGATCGTTGTTCGTCTGTGTGGCAACCAGTTCAGGGTGTACCCCGCCTGCTGCGCAAAGACAGCCGGAATAGGCTCTAGGACTATTTTGTCCATTTAAGTCGAAATAGTTCTTGCCTCCTTGATCTTTTGCATCAAAGAGAGGCTTACCACAGCTTCCTTAGCCATTGGAAAAAGCCACAAAGTAGTTGTCCATACTGTATGTCTGTCCCATCACCATTGTCCCTCCAGTGTGTTTTGGATGAACTCAAGTGACGATTAGGTTTTGCACAACATTGCAAGAGCACAGCTGCAGCTCCACTTGTGAAGGACAGTGGGGTCTTGGCTCAGGGGGCCTCTCTGGGGGTGTCCAGAGTGTGTATGATGGAGCAAAAGATCTGGCAGCATGAATGGTGAAAGGGCAAAGCACCAAAGGGCAAACATCTAAAACAATGCACCTCATAATGATCAAATAATTGTAAAAAGAACAAATAATGCTCAAATGAAACAAGCATCTAGTCCAGCATTGAAGTGAAATGGAAAAGAGTAAAAAATGGCTAAAAAGAAAGGTGAAAAAAATATATGAAACTTGAAAAATAAAATAAATAGAAATTATGCTTAAAATCAAGAAAAAATGTGTTAAATGCATGCTAAATTAACATTTGTCCTGTTTTGTTAAGCGATATATAAATGTAATACATTTTCTTATTATTTTAAAAATGGACGTAGAAATGTTAAAGAATGGTAAAGTAAAAACATAGACAATATTGTGAAAAATAAAGATAATGCTAAAAAACTAACTTGCAAAACCTGTTCAAAAATGTCTTTCCAAAATGTAAATATAAGAGAAATACTAAGATACGGTTAAAATATCACTTAGAGTAAAAGCATGGGGATTATTTTTAGCCACTGTTTTTAACTTCTAATATTATCCTAAAATACATGATATGAAAAATAATGGTGCAAAATAATAATTATCTATATGAATATAAACATCTCATTCTACGAACTCGTTTACTCTGTAAAACCGTGAAATATAAAGCGCTATCAAATTGATTTGAATACCCATTTTTCTAGCAGTTTTGCTGCATTAGTATAAACACTGCGACCACTAGATGGCAGTCTTTGAAAGCTTTTCAGTTCCGAGTAGCCCCAATAGCTGCGTATGCTACTTTCATTCCCAAGTCGAGTTACACTTCCAATTTAATATTTGAGTCCAATGTAAGTACAGTGACATGAAACAATCCCATGTTCACGTGGGCTATAATTTAAAAAAAATAATAAAGGCGGTTATCAGTAAGATTACAG